ATATGAGACCCTGGGCCAACAACCTGTCATGTTTCTGACAAAATGCTGCCCTTTGGTAAACTTTGCTCATTATAATATCATTATAATACCAAAACACACCTCCATCCCAAAACCTACCCACCTCTAAGGTGCGACCACTCCTCACTGAGCTTGCGCTCTGAATTTTTCCTAGCCTATATACCTTTAAAGCGAAGCAAGAAAGTTTTACACCAATCATAATACAGTATTTATGACTAGAGTCACTCAAGCTCCACCTGAAAGGTGAAAAATAGTATAAATTAGCCGAAGAGAGAGGGGATGTTAGGGAAGATACCATCACGTACCACTCTGACTTCTGGGATCAGTCGACGGGCTGAGCCTCTCTTCCCCCGCATCGGGACGTCTTTGGGTAAGATTTGAACACTTGGTTATACCAAGTGCCTCCCCGGGAAACTTAGAAACCTCTATATAGAGTCGCTTGATATCTTTTGATGCATCTGTGTTACGTATGCTTTGGTATTTGCATGTGCCTTGCAGTCAGTGAATTTGTTGCTGGTAATCCAAAGAACCTGTGTGTCTGTTGCTTTAATAAATTGCTTTGATTCATTGGTCTAGCTGTGATAGTTCTCATTGAACACGACCAGACGCTTTAAGTGTGGCCGTGGTAGTTCATGCAGCACGACTAGACAGAAGGTGCCTACGTTATTTGTGCATCCGTAATCGTGATAGTTCAGTGCACTGAACGCGACCAGAGTTAGAACGACAAATTGGGTACCTTCCAAAGCCCTCTTGATGCAACAATAGCTGAAGTACTATCCATTTATCCAACAATGGAGTAACATGAATCATGCACAAAATAACAGAGTTTAGAGGATTTTAAGCATCATGATGCCAACAGAATTTTTATCATGTACCATTTTTATCAACATATGTCAGTTCTGCCTTAAACTACTGCTTTATACACATTCATTTATTGTATTCATATTGCTGCTTTCTAACAGGTTATTCATTTTAACAGTAGATATCTTGGACAGTTTGCTGACTAAAAACCAAAAATACACATACATGCACATAGATACCCTTCCCCCTCCCATATATGTATGTATGCTTGTGTCTCATAAAAATGAATTCTTTTATTGCTGAACAAAAATATTCAGTAGCTTGTACTGGATCTACTGCGAGAAGGTACAACTGCTCTGACAGTCTGCAAATGGAGGAAACTAATTCCAGAGGTACAGATCCGCAGTGGCAAATGCCCAGCTGGCAGCTCTCCCCAGCTGGTCCGTTGTCCTGTGGCACAGCCTGAAACAGCAGCTTCCCAAATCATCACGTGGCAGATCATTCAGGGTAGGACAGCAACATAATCACTGTCATCAATGTCTGTGAAGAAATCAATAAAAAAAAGATGTTGTCATTGCAAATGGCTCCTCTGAAAGCCCACAGTAAGCAGGACGGCTTGTGACCGTGTTGCTGGGCAGGTATCAACAGCTCAATTTGGTTTCTCAGTATTCTCTCTGCTATTGCAGATGTTTAGGCCCCGTGTCCTATGGACTGGGTCCTCCAGGAGCCCGTATGGAGGCAAAGCCTGCATTGTGTTTTCTGAGCCAGCAAGCTCTCTTATTAAACAGATGTATCCACGTGAGACCCCCTGAGGAATAGTCAAATGTTGGAAATCATCCATACTTACCAAATCAGATCAATAGCCGAGACAGCTATGACTATAGCATAACACACCTTTTCTTCTTTAAATAAATAAACAACAGAAAGGCCTGAAAAAAGCCTTTCTCTCTTAGACCTGGTCAGATTTATTATGTTTTTTGAGAAGATAGCAGAAAGGCAGAAATTGAATGCTTGGGACTCCATCTCCACTATGGAAACCTACTGTCGCTTCAAGCAGCCACCCTCAGACAAGCTGCTCCTAGGCTAGAAAACAATGTTCAGAACTGTCCAACAACCAATGTCGCGACTCCAGTCCCATGAGTTGTTCCACTGGTGGCACTGAAGCACTCAATCCTGCATGTGCTGCAAAGCCAGCTGCTGGTGCAACATGAGGGACCGGGCCAGAAAGTATAGTGCTTGCTTTAGGAAGCACTGTGGTGTTTTACGTGGTGCCTGCATTTCAGAGAGATATCCATCATGACGTTAACTTAAACTCCCCCTGTAAGCACGTAACAAAGCAGCCTGAGGGGGAAGTTTGGACTACTGTATAAGTGAAATTTAAATTAAAATTGAACAGCATCAATTCCAAACTGATTTGATTACTTCTAAAAGCCTCCATTTTTATGACAACTACAAACATTTAGATAGTGAAATGAAAGGTTTTGTTTTCCTCCCTGTGAGTCCAGACCAAGACATTGTGCATCTTTTAGAAAAGTCCGTGTTGCAGGACAAGACAATGAAATATGTGTTACATCTGATTTTTCCTAAAAATATATCCATGCTACTGCAGTATTTTTCCATTTCCCTGGAACAGCAATGACAAGATACTACAAAAACCTTTTTTAGAGCAAATGTGGCATAGTGATATAAGTGATAATGTAATGTTGGGGACACTGGAAATGTCTCTTTGCTACTGTTTCTCTCAGCAAGGTTGTTGCTGCACTGGCCCCTAAAAATGCAGCTTAGTGCATGAAGTGGTGGGGAGAGCTCTCCCCTTCCTATCCTGGCTGCTTGACACAAGGAGCTGTTGCACTGTTGCATGCAAAAAACCGGCATCTGTCATACAGACAGGAGGTATGACTGCAGCACAGAGAGGCTGGCCCACATGACCGCGTTTTAGCTAGTGTTACTCGTGAGATATAACTCACAGAGAAGATTGGATACTCCAAGAATTTTTTCTTTTACAATAACTGTACTTAATGAAAGGATTGCCCTTGCTCATTACACTTAGTTTTCTAGTCAGAGGACCTAGAAGAGTTTCAAGGTTATTTTGCAGCCTGTGACCTGATGGATACTGCAGCTGAGCATCGTACCACAGTAATACGAAAAGTGGGTTCAAAAGTGTGTGAGGGATGCTGGCAAGTTACCAATAGTATCTCTATTCATCCTCCCCAAACCAAGGACATAAAGACAACATGGGACTACAAAACATGGTCTATCACTTTGTGAAATCGTGATTTATTGAATGCTGTTGCATAATATTTCAGGGAGACACATTGTATCCTCATACTTGGGACTTGTAAGCGTAAGTTAGCAGAAGATCAACCAGAGACTGAATTCCCTGTTTCCAAAGCTGTGATCCTGAGCACAAGGTTATACGTTTCTTATTTTCAACATACTAACTTAAAAAATTAGCCATGTTTTAATACAAATCACAACAAACCACAAGCTGTCTGCCTTTTTTTTTTTTTTTCTTTCCCCCTTTTTTTCCCTCTAGCATCTCAAAAATAACCGAGTTGGATTTTGGTATAAAAATAGTTTTCAACCTGGACAATGAAGGTAAAGGACAGCCTGAACTCCAAATGGAGTGCAGGGGCCTGGCAGCTTGGCAGAACCACACTGAGTAAAACTGGTCCGCAGCCTTCCCTAGCCTAGAAGCATCAACACCCATGAAGGAGTGAACTGTGGGCAACATCATGCTTTGCCTTCTGTATCTCTTGCAATTTTAACTTGTTAATTTATAGTGGATGAGGGTATGTAACCTGTCAGCTGTGAATAACCATTTTCCAGTGAACGTAAGAGATGGGAGGATGTTGAACTTCTGTCCAAGCAAGCTGATCTCAGAAGACATGTAGCAACTATTTACCACAGACCTGTCAATGCAGTCATCTTAAAAAAAACCCCAAAAAACCAAACAAAACAAAACCACAAAGGCAGAGCTAAATTTCTCACCATCATAAATGTCATCCTTTCCTGACTTGAGCCTCTGGCTTCTTTGCAAAGCTTTTGGTTTCTTTACGGGGTAGTGGAGGTTTGTTATTAGTCCTTGATTTGGCTTTTCATAAGTGTATATTAGGTCCTTTAATGTTCTGAAGAGCCTCTCTGGAACACCTTCAGAAGTCTGCAAGGAAATGAAAATAAGTTTGTTTGCAATTGCCCTTCACATAGAGTCCCCTAAATGAAAGGAATGATAAGTTGTTTCTTGTTTACCAAGGAGCTGTTTTGTAAAGAGTTTTGGTGACAGAATATTGTAGTATCTTTAAAACACTAGGGACACCTGTTTGGTGGCGTGGTTATGGCACTAAGCGCAACCTCCCTTACCATGTTTTTTTTAAAAAAAGAACATCAGTTTAAAATATTGGCTCAGATGTGCGCTGCAGCAATCCATTACAGCAGAGTGTTGAAGAGTGACAGCATTACAGACTTCCCTCTGGTGCTAGAACACAAGTTTGGGAGCAACATATTTAGTTCTCACTTCAGATGTTGCATTTAAACAACGATGTGACAAGCAGATGCCAACCATTTTACAAAATACCAGCGTTGTCAAGTAAAGGACATCTGCAGAGGCAGAGGACGTGTCTGAGGATCCATATGAAAGTCCCCGGCACCAGCTTTCACTTTTAGGCAGGAGTTTATTATTTGTCTCTTTTTTGTCTATTATTTGTGACTTGCATTGGAGACTCCTGAGGCCAAACATAGAGGATGGCACTCCTAAGTGGGAGAACAGCATTCTGACAAACCACTTTTTAATGTGTGGGTTCATACAGCTGGACTGAACTGCTTCCACGGCACACCCCCCCAGTGATCTGTAGAGAGTCTTTGCAACGCTGGTGACTTCAGGATGGTGACAGACAGTAAGCACATTAATCAGCTCTAATCACAGCAAGGGTTCTACTACTAGTCATTAAAAGAGAACGGGGCTTTGGTTTCTCTTCATTTGCTATCTAACAAAGAAACATGTCTTTATTTTCTTTGTTTTTCTGCATCCTTTATCTTCCCTTCTGCCCTGTATATACTGAGTGCCACTGCCTCTGTGTACTGGGTCTGGCTGGGATGGCGTTAACTTTCTTCGTAGCAGCCTGTGTAGTGCTGTATTTTGAATTGGTGACTAAACCAGTGTTGATAACACACTTGTGTTTTGGCTGTTTCTGAACAGTGCTCGCACAGCCTTGATGTTGCCTCCCTTTCCTGTTCTGCTCCCCCAGTGAGTAGGCTGGGGGTGCACAAGACACTGGCAGGGGACACGGCCAGGACAGTGGACCTGAACTGACCAAAGGGATATGCCATCCCATATGACATTGTGCTCAGCAACAAAAGCTGAGGAAAGTGGGGTCATTCGTGGTTATGCAATTTGTCTTCCCAAGTAACCATTACGTGTCCTGAGGCCCTGCTTTCAGGTTGTGGCTAAACATCGGCCTCCCGATGGAAAGTAGTGACTAAACTCCTTATTTGCTTTGCCTGCATGCACAACTTTGCTTCATCTATTAAACTGTCTTTTACCCTGATTCAAGAGTTTCCTCATTTTTGCTCTTCCTGTTCTCTTCCCCCCACCCTGCGGGGGGAGGGACCGAGCAGCTGTGTGGGTGCTTAGCTGCTGGCCGGGGTCAACATACTGCACTCTAGAAAAGTTTGTGGATGAATCTGGCCCTTAAAAAAAAAAAAACCCAAAATCTCCCCTCCGCTATCAATATATTATTTCAGTATAATATTTTAGTAAGCCAAAACAATCTGACTTAAAAATTTGAAGAACAAACTCTTCTTTCACATTCTTGGCAAAACCTTGTAAGGAGAACTGGGTTTGAGGAAACTAAAAGTGTGGAGTTGTTATCTGCTGATAGGCATGACAGCAAAACCCAGAAGAGTGGCTATTGACCAAAATAGATTATTTTTTTGTCAACAAACCATTCAATTCTTCATGGGAAATTGTGTCTTTTGCACTCAGTCCAAACCACTAATAAGCAAGAAATTACCAGCATATGAGAGCTTGGTGTGTCCTTTATGGAGTGAGCTCCTCATTCCACTTAAAGGCTACTTAATTATTGGCAGTCCTGTTGACTGTCCTACTACAAGCAGAGGAGTGAGCCAGCTTTTTAAGTGTCCTCTCACCTTGCCTAGGGATTTGATTGATGCAGTCTGCTGTCATGCTTATTCAAGCAATGAGCAGCATTATCTGGGGTCATCACCTCAGGTGCCCCAGAATCGTACAGAATTATAGATAGGTCTCTTTAAATCAAAAAGATCATTCCAATATTCAAAACCCCTACAAGATGCTGGATGCAATGGCAGAGCTTTCAAATAAAAAAAGCTAATTAAGAACGGGAGCATGTTATGAAATTGATGGATTTTTCTTCAATGCTATGAAAAAGAAATGGTCAAATCAGAAAGCAGCTGGCCAACAAATAACAGATCCACTTAGGTTACAAGGGATTTCTGCAAAGATAATAGCTACTTCTGAGCTCATATGTAATAATAAGTATAACATTAAAAAGTCAAGAATTGAGTGGAGAAGAAAGCAAACTTGGAAATATTTTCTAAGGTAATGTGTTCATGTGTATTAATTTTTTTAATCAGGACAGTGGTCTTTAGTGCAATCTTTACAGCTGAAATGAGAGTTACTCACCTGTATTCTAAAATATCCATGGTGTTCCCTGAAGATACGGTAAGTGTAGATGATTCCTTCAAAGCTGTGAAAAACATTGTTGTATACATTATACTTTTCATGAACTGTCAGACCACTGCAACTTGCTTAGACTACTACAGCTGATCTTGACGGACAGGTCTTGTTTTTGTTTGTTTGCTTGTATCTTAAAGTAAACTGCAATACAATGAAGGACTAAAAACAAAGAAACAAATCTAAAGGAATGCCTGATGCTAAATAACATCAATTATATATATACGCATTCACTTTTCCCTTTGATTCATATATCGGAGCCTTCATTTTTCCATTTGATTCATATATTGGAGCCTTTAAAATACTTGAGTATCACATATCATATATAAAAAAATAAGTCATATGTTTCATCTTCTGTTAGCCAAAATTAGTCATGCATGTTGTTTCCTTAAGCCTCAGAAACCCAAATATTACTTTACCATACCTTACTAATTCAGATCTAAACCCCTATGCATTGCTATGCAGATCTGTTAGATTTTGGGCCAAATTTATGGTGCTGTTTTTTGCCCTGCAGAGTTAGGCCAGGTATGGTAAGCATAGCTAAGAGTGCTCTGTTCAATCTGCAGTCACTACACTTTGCTTAGCATAGATCTTGATAAAGCATGTCCAGCTAGCTCACCTCCACATCAACTAACTGCCTGAGTGTTCCTCCAGCTTCTTAGGTGCATTTCCTATGCTGAGCTTTGTACCACTAAGGCTCCAATAAAATAGATCTGTTAAGTCAAAGCAATGAAAATGCCTCAAGTTTATACATTGAGAAAGGGCTGGATGTCACTAAGAATTTGCATTACTTGTTCTGAGGCAGTAAAACACAAAATAGAGCCTGGGACTCCACTGCAGGTGCCATGTAAAAGAAGAGTCCTTGCTTGCACAGGATGCCTAAGTCCTTGCTCCCCACCAGCAGAATTGCTTCATGGCACTAGAAACAACTTTGTGCAAATGTCAACATGGGAATAAACTGAGGCAATAAACAAGGCAAAGGGCTGGCACACGCGTCATTGAGAACTGCAGTATCTCCATCGGCAGTGAGGAGAAGGGAGCTGTGGCCTGGTCGACTCTCAGACTTTACACTGGGTTGGACTAATCATCAGACAACCTTTTTACAATGGACAGACAGTGCTAACATGTACCCCTCCTTCTAAAATGGAGCTGTAAGGAAGACCTAAATAGCTACAAAGACAAAAGTGAGGTGCCCATCTTTCCCTGAAGTCACACTCTAGGGGAAAATGAGCTGGCTTCCAACTAATTACCACATCTGTAAGAGAAGCAGTCACCTTTCAAAAGACTGATCTACAGCTGAGAACAAGGATGAGAGATTCACCTGGGATATGACACAAGACTGCAACGCTGTATGGAAACAAGCACATTGGCATGGAGTGATGCTCTGAAAGATTGTCTTTGTGAATGTCTTCTATCATATTGGTAGAAGTTGGGAAGGATGTGAGGGGAGAAAGAAAACCACATTAATCTAAGTGGTTGGTGCAGAAGGCACTACCTAGCTCAAACAGATTCTAATACAAAGTGTTAGTGGCAAGTCCTGTTAAAGCCTTGGGCTGCAAACTGTGAACTGTCACCCAGACACGCTGACTGTATCCTCCACTCCTACTTAGCTTCATGAAAGAAGGCCCTGAAACCAGTGCAAACCAGAAAGATTAGGTAGCCGCAACTGTTAGCAGAAGCTGTAGCCATTAAGAGAAGGAATGTCTCACCTGGAGACAAAGGATCCAACAAAGAACAAGAAGACCTCAGACCCGAATATTGCTATTGGACTGAACCATCATGTGAGGGGAAGAGGACTTAAATTTTAAGGGTATAATTGCCCAGGGATTTCTTTGTTCAGGGTCCCTCTCCAGAGGCACCCAGCTCGAGCTGTCATTTACCATTGTACCACTCAATAAATCTGCCTGGCGTACGTCATGTCAAAGACTCTACTCTGGGGAAACCTAGGGTTGAGCCTGAGGGGAGAGAACGCGCCCGAGAGAGAGTGAGTGTGTGGGGAGTCGAAAAGGGGCACCCATCAGCTCAGTGGAGCTGCCCACTGTGAAGGGACTCCAGTTTGAGCAGTTAAAGTCTTGGGTGGTGTGTGTGCGGCTTCCTAAATGGTGTGTGAATGCTCGGGCAGCAGCTGCTCCTTTAACAGTGGTAAAGAATGGTTCTGTAGAAAACTTGCAGTTTACCTTTCACATGAGATCTACTGGCATTCCTCTGAAGAAGAGAACAGGTGAGGTGGTTGCCACGGCATACACAGAAGTGTGAACTTGCAGAAAGTTTTTCATGTAATCTGCTTTCCTTGTGGGAGCCCTCAAGTAATTGCGGCACCACAAATTCATACTCTTATTCCCCCCATGCTGCCCCATGCAATGACCCCTTGAGCTGTCTGTACCTTCATGTATTCCAGATGTGATCGTGTACCAGGCTACTTCAACCTAGAATATGTTTGATTTGACCAGAGTATAGCTAGAGATGCATATGATACTGGACATACACTCAAGAGCGTGTATGGTATTAGGGACTTAACCATGGGCTGAGTCTTTGACCTCCGCTGCCGAAAGCAGACACTGTGGTGGAAGGAAGAGACACCACATTTTCAACAAAGCGTGAGCCTGGAAATGTCTGCAAACAGCAGGTGGTATTAAAGACATGAGAGGTTGTGCAGTAAAATTGAATGAGACAGCGATAGAAAAGCAAAAGAGAAGGGAGCCTGGAGTTTGCAAAATGAGAGAACGCTTCATATCTTGAAATATAAGATTACTCTAATGAGTGGTTTCAAAGAACTAATGAACTAAACCTAACACAGGCCTTTATATAAGAGTAATTTGATTCCACAGACATCCCACCCTCTTATCCTCCTCAGGTGTGATACCTCCCTAAACTTCATTTTACGGTTGTATCACAAGGGTGTTGAATTCTTGGAGAGAAGTTAGCATAAAATGGCCTCCAGTCACCAGCACCCAGAAAATGACTGCACAGGTCCTACTTCTAGGAAAATTATTCTTCCTTTGCATTTCCCAGGGTTTTAATTATTATTATTTTTAATAATATGTAGGTGTTTGAACACTCAGGCTGCTGATGGCTTTGGATATTTTTTGTGAACAGAAATAAAAGCTTTATCAAATACCACAATGGCAGCTATACACAAGATGAACTGGAGATCTTGACCGTGATCAAAAAAGGCAGTAAAGTTGCAAAGATATGTAAACCACAAATAACAAGGGGCGGAAGCAGTATTTGAAAATAAGGTCTTTTAACTGGTACACATGTTCATCAGAAGGATTTCAGCGGTAGCTACATAAATTGAGTTGTCATGAGAGGAGAGTCTTAGGGTTAAAACCTAGCTCAGGGGACTTGTGTGTAAATGAATAGTTACTCTGAAAATAAACTACTTTGTTCTGCAAAAAAAGTTACTATGGATTGTGATCAGGATAAGACTTCCAGTTAGAATAGATTTACTTTGATTCAAAGGGATGCAGTTTCTGGTTTTTAACTCCTTGAGATACCCATAGAAATTCACATGTTCCTGGCTAAAGAGTATTTTATAAATGTGTGTGTTCATTCTTTAAACATAGACATAGAAGTGAGGAAAAAAACTACCAGAAACTGATAATTTTTCAAACTTATTCTTTATCATCCAAATTTGGAAATGTTACTGCCTAGATATATTTGGCTACTGAAGTTTTTACTGAATAAACATGAAACCACCATTAAAATGGAAACTTCTGTTTCCACATTAACTACTAAATGCTTACCAACAGCTGCATATGGTACAAGTTAATAAAGCGTCTGGTCTGGGCACAGGGGAGATCCAGTGGCAGAAAAGCAGGGGGAGAGGAGCTTCTTTTGGTAGAATGACATGTTGAGCCGTAAGGAGAACAGTAGCAAGAGGAGTAGGTCTGGACTGAGGCACTGGCAGAGAACTGGGACAGCTTTGAATGAAAGCGGCAGTGTGCTGTGGAGGAAGACGTATCAGCAGAGCTGTGCACCGTGCCCGATGAGAGGTGTGTTTGAATTGGTCCCATCATTCTGACTCCCAGATCCTCTAGAGGGCAAAAAAAAAGTTGTTTTCTGTAGCAAGTGCATCAGTATCTCTGCCCATGGATCAGCTGATTTGAGATGTGTGCATCAGTTTATGCATCAACCATGTTAGGTGCTAAGCAATTAAGGTGCAATTCTAATCCAGAAGCGGTCTTGAAACTGCACTGAGAGTTTCAGTGTTGATTGCTTCCAGTTTGAGGACAGCTTTCCTCTGCCTAGTAAACCGCCGACAGGAGTCCAGTCTCGGAGGCAATCCTGAGCCAATACACTATTACCATCCATCCCATTTGCGATCTGAAGACAACCCTTGCTTTTATCTCTGCAAGCCAGTATCTGCTATACCATTGCTGCCACCCCTACAGTTTAACTATTAAATTTGTTAATGCACAAGTTAAATACACTAAACACTAAATTTTTTAACAGTTTTTAACACTAAACCACCACAGAGGCTAGCTGGAAGTCACACGCTTTTTCTATGCCTGCCCAGAACGCTGTTGACAGACAAAAGCATGTGTGTGCAAGCTATCACAAGGTTCATCTGCTTTGCCCTTATTAAGAAGGGAAAAAAAAAAAAAAAAAAGGAAAGCAACTGTGTTAGTGTGGCACCAAGCTTAACCTTTATGTTAGCTTGCATCTGCCCTCAACGTACTGTGTAGACGTGCCCTCTGTTACATCTGTGGTGCAAACTCATTGCACACACCTAGCCAGACCTTCACTTTCTCATCTTCCTCTACTGCATAAGATCTCAACAGCCATCTTCCCATGTCAGGGACGAATATTGTCATTCTTCCTCTGCACCGGGATCCCCATTTGTCCCTTCTGACAGGGTATGCATGCCCTTTCCCTCCGATGCTCCCTGCCCTCCCTATATTGTCTCCTCCCGCACCATACTGAAGGCAGGTTCCCGCAGCTCCCTCCCTGAGGGCTCTGTTTGTCCCCCACTTGCCATTTCTGTTCTCCTTACTCTGTCATTTCATGGACCTCCTTTCTTCTACCCGTAGTACTCCATTTCCCTCTCCCTTTTTCTCCTTCTCCTTTGATTTGTTTCAAATGAAATGCATTTTTGATTACTGATAAAAATATTTTCTGATATTTTTTAATTAATTAGATGTAGTGTTAAAAGATCTTCATGTCATACTCAAACACCCTTAAGGAGAGTGTGAAACATAATAGGGTCAAACAAAGGAAGACGCAGGGTTACTAATTTATAAACTTTGAACGCATTAGGAACAGAACAATTATCTTCTTGAAAGGGAAATAAAAGTGCTATTCCCTACAGAAAAAGAAAATAATATTTTTTTAATTGTAGTAATTAAAGTTAAGGACTAGAAGTAGCAGTTTTCTATGCCCATTTTGTTCATGGACCTGTCATATGAATTTGAACAGCACATTATAGCTTTCTGTCTCAGCTTATGTTCTTAAATCAGATAAAATTCCTTTGAAGCACAAGGCTAAGCTTTCATTATATAGAAAGCCTATGAAAAAGGAACTGTTTTGTAACCTACTGTGTGACTTTCCAGTGTCTCAACAGTGCTAAAATGCTATTTACTCATCATTACAGAGGCAGTAACTTTGAGTAAGGTTCTTACCATGTTTTGGCAGGCTAAACTATTTTCTCTGGGCTCCCCTTATTGTCTGCAGAGAGAGACCAGCATCAGCAGATTACAGTTTATCTATCCTCTGTTGTATAAAATGCCTTTTGCAAATGCCACCCTCTCACCACTCACTATAATGGTGGCCTAAGGCAACCAGCATTACTTGAATACATATTCACACCCCCTTGGAGTCTGTTAATATTAAGGAAGAAATATTAATGTTAGAGAAAATGAATGGCTGTCTTTCGATCTATTTGAAAACTCATAAAAAATTTAGTATTACTTACAAAACACAGAGACACAAGGCTCCTTCCATGCTTTCACTCTCTCGTATTAAATAGCTACCATTCTTTCCATTCCTGATCACAGGTTCTTCTTGTTATCTTTCCATGAAAAAATGGGAAATCCATGGACAAGAGAAAACAAAGTTTCTCACCTTTCAAACCAATTCCAGAGAAAGTCAGAAGCCTGGCATTAAAAGAAGACTTATTCCAAATGCAGCTGTTTGCAGACAGCTGAATTTGGAGGTGCTAAGTACATACACGAGTTCGTCTGTGTTGTTATTGCTGACCTGTCCGTAGTGAAGCTGATGTTCAGCCTGTGCTTACAGCTCATGAATGCAGTGAAGGCAGGAAATGGGAAATGATTTGTCTATACTAGTCACAGTCTACATCAGAAGGGAAGAGTCTTTTGTCACATTACATCAGTAGACATTTGAGTTGTGTATCACACTTCTAAGCTATGCAATAGCTAGGTTGATACCTAAGTATAGTTATATTTTTAAGTTAGCTTTTATGTTTAAAGTTGCTCAAAGCCCTGCAAATAGTGTTCTTGCTCATAGTTTTGAAAAATGCTGCTTGGTTTGATTCCTTTCCTTGCCAGACTTGCCTTCTAACACAGTTGTTTGGGTTTTGTTGTGGGTTTTTTTTTCCTTTTTTTTTTTGGGGGGGGGGGGGGGGGGGGGAGTGTTACTTGATTTTTCAAGTTTTGGTGAAAGTTGGTCAGCAATATTTGAGAATGAGATTTTTCAAAACAGAGCATTCTTCGCCCCACCCCCTTCTTATTTTTAAAGTATAGCTATTTTATCAAGAAGTTCTGCTGTCTCTGTGCCATGATTTAGGAAACATGGCAGGGAGAAGGGGGTCAAACAGTGCCTTTTGCCACCCCTGGGAAGCTGCTGTCAATTCAGCAAGGATGGGATACAGACACATGTAGAAGTGCTGCTCCTTGATGGAGGAAATTCCACGGGAGATGATCTCCCAGGCATTTCTTTCCCAGGCATTTCATACTTTCTCTGCTGGAAGCCAAGGACCAGGGGAGGAGCACAAAGACCTGGAGAAGCAGAAGAAAAGAAGCAGGCTGGACAGTGTTTGTGAGGGAGAGCAAATTGAGAGAGGCCCTAAAGATGTGGGGGAAGCAGTGATGTAGATGGTGAGAATGGCAGGAGAGACAGAGTCCTCAAAGGAGGGGAGAAGGATTTGGAACCCCTGTGTCATGATCCAATCTGGGCTGCCCAGGGAGGATCGTGGTGGTTCTGTGATTCCCTTTTTGAGGACGCATCAGTAAACCACACGTTTTTCAGGTGAGGTTTGAACAGAGGAGCGGGTTTGATAAGGGAAGGGGGAGGCTGCTGATCTGGGTGATCAGTGGGCAGATCCTGCATCTGAAGCTGTTTGGGTGTCCCTTCCTCTCTCTGGCGTGCTTGGCAGTAGTGGCCGAACTGTGCACACCACTTCCTCACTGTCGCTGTGCAGCTCCCACAGGGTGGGGGTGGTGTTCCTGCCAGTACTGGTTTCGGGACCTTAAAGGGCCATCATAAAACCATTGGTTGCTGCCATGTAATTTTCTCAGCCTCATGTGAAGCTAAACTAACCACAAAGAGGCTCTTTGCCCAAACTGAAAAGTCTGGAATGTGTTTTCTCCAGAATATCAACAGGCCTAAGGCATGTTGGAGTTCCCTCTCGTTTCCAGGCATTTTCACTTGTTCAAGGGTAGTCAAGGTTTCGGGGGGAATACACACTGTCCCACCCCTCCACCAGATACCCAGGAACCTCAGTTCCAAGGATGGCAGCTGTATCTTTTCTGTTGGAATCTGGAGTTCTAAACTCTCCAGATGAGTGATTATTTTTGTTTGGGTCTGTCCCACTACATTGGTATCAGGGCTGCCAATCAATATATCATCCATATATTGATATACCTTAACTCCCTTCTCAGGGGTAACATGGGCAAGCTCCTGCGCCAGTACATAGTGGGCAACGGTCGGTGGATGGCAGTATCCCTGAGGAAGGCATTAAAAGTAAATTGCACCCCTTCCCAGGTAAAAGCTAAACAACCTCTGTCTGCTTCCTGCAACGGAACCATAAAAAAAGTCTTTTACATCTGCTTCCCCCCATGTCATCTCTGGGGGACCTCCCCTTGGCTGGGGTCAGGGTGTTCTCAACAGATCTTGCAGTTGTACCGCATATAGTTTCAAGGCATTGGGTAGTCCCCTTATAAGGGGATGAAACCTTTTGGGGTCTGCCGCATATTGCATGGGAGGGGGCTTCTGCGGAACCAGTAATTGATTATGCATCAACTGGAGACATGCAGTTTTCTGTACACTCTCTAAAATGTGGCCCGCTGTAGGTATTTTAATTGAGAAGTGGTCTCCCCTTTCCACAGGATCTAATCCACCTGCCCAATATGCAACTCTTTGGGTCAGGGACCAGGGCTCTCTATTATTGTTTGTGGTTATAAAAACCCCTGGTCCCCAATACCGTCTTGCCTTACTCTCACTCAGCAAAATACAGTCACGTGACCCCAGTAAGAGATACTCTCCATATGTATTTGGTTTCCGTTTCTTGGCATCCATGGGAATATTTTTCCTGAATTTTAGCTAAATCAGTAGGGGAATAGGGAACGGTATGGGTGGTAACTTGCTGAGCTCCTCCTTGACCACTATTTATAGTCTTGGTCTTAATTAGAGGTCACATTTTGGCTTCCTCCCTTCCAGAGGAATACATCTCTAGGTCTTTAAGGGGTCTTTAAGAGCCATTCTGACCCTTTTCCCCTGCCAGAGTTTGTATCCATGCCTTCTACGCTGATTTGGGAACAGGTTTCATCTCATGGCTCCCTTAATATTCTCTCCCCCTCCAAAGCCTCCACCAAAGTGGCATGTCATCCTCTGCTTAGTCAGCTGCTTGGGGGTAAGCTGATCGGAGAGACTTCTCGTTTCATTTTCTAATTGTTCCTTTGAAGCCTTCACCAGATCTTGAAGGGATTTTATTACCTCCCCTTCTTCTTGTTGTGTTGTATCTTTAACCCCGCTGCGCTGCCGCCAGGGCAGCTCCTAAAACCACACGTACCAACGCTTTCCCCTTTCAAAGCCTCAATCTCTGTTCCTTAGCTGAGGTGGAGAATCTGTCCTCTACTGCTTGTGGATCATGCCAATTATTATGGGCCCAAGTCATACCAGAGGGAGAAGGTCAGGTGTTATAGCCCTCTAATCTCTCCAGGAGGGGGGTACAGTCTACAGCCGGACCTCCCAGGGAGGCCATAATGACTATACAATCGTAGGGATCAGATCCCTTGTTAGCCCTCTCAGGACTGTCTCCCCTTGCATATGACTCCTCTCAGAGAGGGCCCGCAGTAAAGGCCAGGTCCCAACAATTGCTTTAGCACCAGCAAGGGAATCCTGTCCGTGACGCCAATTTATGTCACGATCCAAATGGGGCTGCCCAGGGAGGATTGTGGCGGTTCTGTGATTCCCGTGGGCTAAATTAAGGTGAAACGACACCAAATGATCAAATACACTTTATTGATGGTAAAAATACAGCCTGAACGTGGAAAGCTTAATGGTAGGCAGCCTGAACTAGGAAAGCATAACAGTAGGCAACATGGGTTCTAATTGGAATACTTATAAGAAGAAAGGAAAAAAAGAGGGGAGGGTGGGGGGGAGGGGGAGAGAGAGAAATCACCACCCTTGGATCCCATGACATCAATGCTAAATGTCGCAATGCTCCAGTAGTGAGTGTGCACTCGGCTCCTTGGAGTTGTGTCTTTTATAGGCTAGTCCCTGCCTCTAGTCTCGCCCCCTTGAGGACTTACATGGTTCTTGTTCCAGAACGTTCTTCATCTTCTGCGCAGACAGCACTGGGGGGGGATGGTCGCGAGGGGTCTTTCAGGTGGTTGTGAGGCCCTTCCTCAAAGGAACTCTGTATGACCTCTGGCCATATATGGTGAGTTGTAAGGCACATCAGAAGGCGGAACTGTGCATGCTCCAACACGCCTTCCCAGCTCCGTGCCAATCAGCTTCTCACCTGTGGTTTAGTGGTGCTATGCAGCCCCTAACTGGTCGCTATGGAGACATTAACTTGTCTCTACGCAGACCTTAACTTGTCTCGCCACAATGTTTGAGACACCAACGTACATTAACTCTTTCAGTCTCTCACACCCTGCAATACAGCCCACTCTCAAGGTCAAAATGGAGTCCAGACACACAAGTGTTGGCACTGGCAAGTATCTTCATGATTTCAAAACGTGCTGCTTGCACATTCACCTCCCAGCTCTGGCACGTAGGGCCAACTCTTTCTGAACTATGAAGTCCTCATGATGTGTCACAATTTCCCAGTTGCCAAGCCATGCCAGTGACCCCCTCGCCTCAAGGCAATGACCCCCTGCAATTTCAGTTCAAGACAGTAATGGCTGGCACCACTACAGCCACTTACCCCGTTAGTACTGGTAACATTGGACCTGTGTGGTGCAATTCCAGGATCCACCTTGCTGATGATCCATGCAGAAGACAAGGAAATGCCAAAAGATGACATTTGGCTATATCCCCCTTCTTTTTCACAAATTCCCCCACCGTTTCACAAAACTCCACGAAACTTGTGATGGCAAGTATTCCACAGTTAGGATATGCCAGAGTTACAGCATGCTGCTGGCAAAATCTCAGTTCTCCTCCCTTTGTGCAAATGAAATATGATAAAGGAACAGCTGTGATGGTGGGGATGGTCACTGATATGACTCTTATTTTTCTGTGTGTCATCTACCTCACTAATGCCATAGATTGGGCTATGTTACAGGAATAAGTCAGGACTATATAGGGGAGAAAGGAAATTATCTATAGAAACTCTAGGTTTTTTTGTTCAAAATTAATAGCTGAATTTGAGGAAAGAAAATGAGTGTTTGTGATGTCCTGATCAGCCTCAATCATGAAGTCATGGAAAGCTACAGAAAAGACTTGGCAATTCTCTGTTTATTCAGTTTTAAACAGAGTTCATCAAAATAAGCTGTAGAACTACACAAGGATTTTAATAGAGAAACAAAGTGTGAGATACAGTGACCACTGGCATCTTGACCACAGAGTGGGAAAAACATCCTGTGGAAAAAACAAGGTAAATACTGAATGAACACTAGTAAGCAAGGACAA